TTAGCTTGCCAAGTCACAACAAACACAAGCAACATTGAACCATTACGTATGCCTGAAGCTAGCAAGAATCCATGGGAAAGTGTATCAATTGATTTTTGCGGCCCGTTTCCCAGTGGTGAGTACTTACTTGTACTGATTGATGACTACTCACGATACCCCAAAGTAGATATTATTAGAACAGTAGCCCATACAACTGTTATTCCCTGTCTTGACAAAATCTTTGCTACTTACGGAATTCCCAGAACAGTTAAATCGGACAATGGCGCCCCATTTAATAGTACAGAATTCAAACAGTTTGCTAATTATCTTGGTTTCCAACATCAGCGTATAACACCCTATTGGCCTCAGGCAAACGGAGAAGCCGAACGATTTATGAGAACATTAAAGAAAACAGCTAGAACTGCCAAAGTTGAAGGCAGGTCTTGGAAACAAAACTTGTTTACCTTCCTCAGAAACTACCGAGCTACGCCACATAGTGTAACCCACCAGGCTCCTGCAACCTTGCTATTCAATCGCGCCATAAATGTCAAGTTACCCCAGTCACAAACTGTAGCACCAGCTGACCCAAACCATCAACAAGCACTTGATGCATCGTGTAAGTCAAGACAAAAGAACGAGGTCAACTTTGACGAACGAAACAAAGCCAAATCCTCTGAATTCAAAGTCGGTGATGCAGTCCTGCTGACAAACTCAAAGAAAGGTAAATTGCAGACCCCTTATGAACATCAGAAATACCAAATTGTTAAGAAGAAAGGATCAATGATTACAGCGTCAAATGACAATCGCCAAGTCACTCGGAACTCGTCACATTTTAAAAAGTTTAAAGAAAAGAAAGGTGAAACAGATAACCCAGCAGATAAAGAAAAACAGCCGAGCAAGCAGAACACCAATGAACGCCCGAAAAGGAAAACAAAACCACCAGCCTACTTTGGCTATAAACAGTCAGATAAGTAAAACATTTATAATGAACTTTAATTGTCTAAGAAGTCATCATAAATGAACTTTAAAATAAGACATTATAGGAACTTTCAGGTTGATATTAGTTAATCACAAACAGTTATAGTGAATGCAAAAAACTAAAGGTTTAAAGGGATGTAATGACGTAATAGTTACATCATGCCTTAGGAGCATGCGCACTTGTAAGATAGAAGCTAGACATGTGTTTATGCATCGAAGGAGTACTATATTACAACGACCTTTGGAATACTAGCCCAATGCTCTTCCAACTGAGCTACGCGGTCAGGACGGTTCGAGTATGTGATATTTCGGAACAGAATCTAGTTCCTTCGATACCAATATTTTCTAGTAATATGAATTCATAGCGTGTGCGCAGAGTGATTTTTATGTATCCGTATAAACTGTGTGGGGAAAAGGCCCTCTTTGAGACTTAGCCCCATGTAGTAGTTGTAATTTCTTAAAAAATGCCCTGTCTAAACTATTCTTCCTAGCAATACGATACGACTCTTATTGGCAATTCTTTATTGCAAAGCAGGAATCTGCGAAAACACGGAAAAAGCTAGGGGTGTTTGGTAGATAACCTTTACCTGCTGTCCATATTCCAAGAACCTTCGCTCGTAGACATTCTGTTGAGTAACCGCCAGAGCTCAGTTGGCATTTGAGAGTGAACGTTATTATAGTGCCTTGCAAATCTGTAGCCGATCTTGTCCACTAGATAAGAGGAAAATAAACTAATTTCAAAAAAAGAAAAAAGGGAAAAACACGAGTGTATTTACGCACATTAAAATACAATGTTTTGCTTGAGACGGTCAAGTCAATGTAAGATTCATTCAACCATTGCAAATCCATTTCTGCAACGTTGTCTGGAAACTTTGCCACGGCTTTTTCCAATGAACACTTTTGAAAGATCGTGTTCCGTAGATCGTAACTGAATTGTATTGCTTCATCTTTGGGGCTATGCGGGATCACTTGAAAAGGTTTAAATGAACAAACGTTGACGCCTGTAAAACACAAAATTTTTTAAATACATTTCAGTGTAAACTTTCATTACTTGCACCACCATAATATGATTCAATAGCATTATTAGCATATGAAACAAAACACTCACCAACTCCAGACCGCATAAATTCACTGCTTACACAGCCATACGAGTCACCATACTTTATTGCTCCATCAGCTATTATAACAGGATTTCTGAAGTTAGGTTTACTATCACTGCATAAACACGAGCCATCAGACTGACATGTTGCTGAACTTGTACAGACAGTTGCATCATTCGTACAACCATCATTCCCTACACGGAAGCTGTCTGTAACATTTCGATTGACCAAAACCACTTCACAACCAGTCATAATCACTTTACACGACAAACAAGTAACCCACACTAACACCACCTTGTATCTTAAAGACATATTTGTCAAACACCAATAACTATTTGGCAAATAAAAACAATTTTAAAGAGGTCTTTGCGAAAACGAATCAGTCCATATAGGTGACATTTTGTTTAGTATAAAACATTTCTATCTTATTTACATTTATAAACACTTTATTTTTAAAGTAAACAGCATGATATCAGATTTTGTGAGCATCAGACCGTATCCTCATGATTAAACGGATATCGATTGAAGGGTTTAACATTTTGAGGCTTGTGTTCGAAATGTCGAAGTGCTTTAAAGTAATATTTTAGACATATTTTACACGGCTATGAACTAACTTTATTTATACTGGATAGTTCTATCAGTTCTAAACTGTTCTTCCTAGAGGTCCAGTAATGATCATCTCTTATTTATCCAGTGTTACTACAGGAGGAAACCTAAACTAAACTAACTTTGTTTATACTGGATAGCTCTATCAGTTCTAAACTGTTCTTCCTAGAGGTCCAGTAATGATCATCTCTTATTTATCCAGTGTTACTACAGGAGGAAACCTAAACTAAACTAACTTTATTTATACTGGATAGCTCTATCAGTTCTAAACTGTTCTTC